GGGGGGAGTGAGACATGGGAACACCTGGCACCCTGCTGAAAGTAGGAGCCCCCCAGCCTGGGGCAGCCACAGCACAGCCTGGCAGGCACTAGCCCATGCTCCTCCAGGAGTGCTCAGGGCAGCTGTGGGCAAGCTAATCCAGCAGGCTATCTGGGGGTCTTCCAGCCCCAGGGCAAGGGCTGAGCTCCAGGAATAGGCTGCAACATGTACGACAGTCACTAAACCAGCTCGGCACTGGCTCAAAATAGCAGGACCCACCTGACCGGGGGCCAACCAGGATCTCCCTGGGGGACTAGAGGCACCACAGGGGAGGGGGAAGGGGGCATTGTGGGGCAAGGCCTGCAGCCCCATCATTGTATGCCCCAGGGCCCAGGTGCTCTTGGCCCTGTGCCCACTCCCCACCTGCCAAACACGTTGGGGTGAGGAGGTCACAGCAGCCTGTGCCCAGATCTATGTTGCACCCCTGCTGCACCAGCCCTCAAGGGACCCATATTGCCATCATCACCCCTCCCCCCACCCCACTTCCAGGCCAGGGGGTGTTCACCATGTTCCCCTCCTACACTGTCTGCTCAGGGAAACTGAGGCAAGTGTGATGGCAGAAATTGGCTCTGCATTTCTTCATGCACATGCCTGCACATGCACATGCCCATGGCAAGAGCCTGCAGTGACCTGCCCACATACCTCCACCCTGTCCCCTCAGCTGTGCTGGGCCCTGGGGCATCGCAAGGCTGGGGGAGCTGGTGCTGGGCCTGGGGGGAAACCCCCACCCCAGGCAGTCCTGGCAGGGGTGCCCTGTGCAATGACCTCCGCGCTGATCCGCTGGATCATGAGAATTCAATCCCAGCAGGCTGGGCCGGTCGGGGGGAGGGCGGGTGAGCCAGTATTTTTAGAGCCAGCTGGGCAGGCAGGTCAGGTTTCCCACAGTGCCTGTATCTGCACTGCTGGCCTGGCCTGAACAGGCCCACGGCGCCAAGAGGCCCATCCTGGCGCCCGACCCCTCGCTCAGTGCCTGCCTGCACCCAGCTGGGCCACAGCAGCTCCAGCGCTGGGCCATGGCCTGGGCACT